GTTAATTGTCCATTTACACCATAAAACCCCTTTATGTATCCAAGATTTTCATAGGAAATTTAGGACTGCATGATCCTAAATTGTGCTGGAGTACCACATTTTCTGTTAAGTAGTACTTGACAGTAAAGTGTAGGAAGAAAAAATCTGGGTTGACAAAGTGAGGTCATGATAATGTGCCTGTAATGTAATTTGATAAAAAAAAAAAACGTGAGCCTGAGCTGATTGCAAAGCATTGTTACATGTAGAGGAAGACATTATGGGGGCAGAAGGGGGTGAAGATACAGAGTTGAATAAAACTTCTCTAGAGCTTCACAATCTAATGAGATAGGCATTTATAAATATCTCTTAAGGCACACTTTGTTAACTGCTAAAATAGTGGTGCAAAGTGCTGTAGAATTTAAGGGAGGAAACAGGAAAAAAAAGTAAATTGAGTTAAAGGAAGGAGAAATTAGTTTTAACTGGAGACATCTTTAGAAGCTTTATAGAAGAAAGTTTTGTAATGGGTCTTGAAGAATAGACAGATTTTGACAGAATTCTGTCTGAGGTGGGCAGTTCCAAGAAGAGGAAGTAGCTTGGGTAAAGGCCAGGAGATCAGAAGTTGGGCAAGTGCAGTGAATTATAGGTGGGTAGATAGGTATAATTTGAGTGAAAGGTGTACATAGCAGATAAGAAGGAAAATATAAATTGGAGGCCTGGGGAGTTTGGACTCAATCTAGTTTGGTTAGATCTTTCTTTTTTTTTTTTTTTGAGATGGACTCTCGCCCTTGCCAGGCTGGAGTGCAGTGGTGTGATCTCAGCTCACTGCACCCTCCACCTCGCAGGTTCAAGCGATTCTCCTTTCTTAGCCTCCAGAGTAGTTGGGACTGCAGGCCTGTGCCACCACGCCCAGCTAATTTTTGTATTTTTAGTAGAGATGGGGTTTCACCATGTTGTCCAGGATAGTCTCAATCTCTTGACCTCGTGATCCACCCACCTCGGCCTACCAAAGTGCTGTGATTACAGGCATGAGCCACCGTGCCCGGCCTAGCTCTGTATTTAAGAAGAGTATTCTAGTGTACTTTATGTATGTGTCAATATGAGCTTTTTTACTAAAGTAAAATATATGTACAAATAATTACATATTTTTAATATGTACAAATAATTATGTATAGCTCAGTGAGTTTTTACCTAGTGAAACACATCTGTGTAACCATTATCTAGATCAGGAATAGAACTTTGCCAGCACTCCGCAAGTTGCCTTCATGCCCCCTTTAGTTATTAACTCCCTGCTTCCAAGGAAAACCACTATCTTATACTATCTATAGATTAGTTTTACCGTTAATGGTATTTAAGCTCATCTAAATGGAATCATTCCAGAGTGTGTTCTTTAGTGTCTGGCATCTTTTGTCCCACGTTGTTTGTAAGATGAGTAAGATGATTCATTCAGGTTGTGGTGGGAGGTGTGGTATGTTTATTCTTGTTAATGTATTCTGCTGTGATTATTTAGTCATTCAGATTAGTCATTCTATTTTTGATGGACATTTGGATTATTTCTAGTTTTTGGCTACTTTAAATTGTGCTATTATAATCTTGTACATGTCTTTCCTTAAACATAGGTACATATTTCTGTTGGGTTTGTATTTAAGAATGGAATCCCTGGGTCATGGGGTATGAAAATGTTTAGCTTTATGCTGTGGATTGGATATAGCTTGTTCGGCCCTGCCAAGTCTCATGTTGAAATTTGATCTCCAGTGTTGGAGGTGGGGCCTGGTGGGAGGTGTTTGGATTATGCAGGTGGATTCCTCATGAAGGGCTTGGTACCAACCTGTTGGTAATGAGTGAGTTCTCACTCCATTAGTTCCTGCCAGAGCTGGTTGTTTTAAGAGTCTGGCACCTCCCTCCTCTCTCTTTTGGTTTTTCTCTTGCTATGTGATTTCTGCACATGCAGCTCCTCTTCTCCCTCCACCATGTGTAGAAGCCTCTTGAGACTTTCACCAGGAGCAGATGCTAGTACCATGCTTCTTGTACAGCCTGCAGAACTGTGAGCCATATAAACCTATTTTTATTATAAATTACCCAGCCTCAGGTATTCCATTATAGCAATGTAAATGGACTAGGACATTTTAGTAGATATTATTCAACTATTTTTCTTTCTTTTTAGAGACAGAGTCTTACTCTGTTGCCCAGGCCAGAGTGCAGTGGCATGATCATGGCTCACTGCAACCTTGAACTCCTGGGCTCAAGCTATCTTCCTATTTTAGTCTCCTGAGTAACTAGGACTACAGGCATGTGCCACGACACTCAGCTAATGTTTTTCATTTTATACTTTCTTTAGCAGTGTATGGGAGTCACGATTGTTGACATTCTTGCAGAGTCACTTAATATCGTCATTTGTGAGGCTGGGCATGCTGGCTCACACCTGTAATCCCAGCACTTTGGGAGACCAAGGCAGGCGGATTGCTTAAGGCCAGGAATTCGAATCCAGCTTGGCCAACGTGGTGAAACCTTGCTTCTACTAAAAGTACAAAAATTAGCTGGATGTGGTGGCGGGCGCCTGTAATCCTAGCTACTCAAGAGGTTGAGGCACAAGAATCGCTTGAACCTGGGAGGTGGAGGTTGCAGTGAGCTAAGATGGTGCCACTGCACTCCAGCCTGGGCGACAGAGCGAGACTCCATCTAAAAAAAAAAAAAATAGGCCCAGGTGCGGTGGCTTATGCCTATACTCCCAGCACTTTGAGAGGCCGAGGCAGGCAGATCACCTGAGGTCAGGAGTTTTAAGACCAGCCTGGCCAACATGGTGAAACCCCATCTCTACTAAAAATACAAAAAAAATTAGCCGGGCTTGGTGGCAGGTGCCTGTATTCCCAGCTACTCGGGAGGCTGAGGCAGGAGAATTTCTTGTACTTGGGAGGCAGAGGTTGCAGTGAGCCAAGACCATGCCATTGCACTCCAGCCTGGGCAACAAGAGCCATAGTCTGTCTCAATAATAATAATATCTTTTTTGTTGTAGCCATTCTAGTGGATGATGGTACTACCTCACTGTTTTAATTTGTGTTTCCTTAATGACTACTGTAAACAAGCACCTTTTTAGGTTTATTGGCTGTTTAGACATACTCTTGTGAAGTGTTTATTTAAGTCTTGGCCTTTTTTCCCTATTGGATTATCTTTTTTTTTTTTTTTAAGAGATACGATATACAATCAGGAGAATGGCATTAAAAAAAGAGGGGGGGGGGGTAAGATCTTGCTCTCTTCCCCAGGCTTTGGAGTACAGTGGTGTAATCATAGCTCACTGTAGGTTCCAATTCCTGGGCTCAAATATCCTCCCACCTTGGCCTCCCAAAGTGCTGAGACATGAGCCTCATTATTTTGATGCTTGAATTGCTCTCTGTTTGGCCAGTGGGGAGTGCATTCAAACTGCTTCCTCTGTTTTTTGATGTGTTACCATCATTTATTGAGCATGCATTTTCCTTTTATTTCTTTTTCTTTTTCTTTTTTTTTTTTTTTGAGACGGAGTCTCGCGCTGTTGCCCAGGCTGGAGTACAGTGGTGCGATCTCGGCTCACTGCAACCTCCGCCTCCCAGGTTCAGGGGATTCTCCCGCCTCAGCCTCCCAAGTAGCTGAGACTGCAGGCACACACCACCACACCTGGCTAATTTTTGTATTTTTAGTAGAGGCGGGATTTCATTGTGTTAGCCAGGATGGTCTCAATCTCCTGATCTTGTGATCTGCCCACCTCGGCCTCCCAAAGTGCTGGGATTACAGGCATGAGCCACCGCGCCCAGCCGAGCGTTTTCTTACTTACTGAAAGATATTCCAGGCTCTTCTTGTACTTTTTTTGCCCTAGCCCAGGAATTAGTGATTTCTCCAAGAAGCTCTTTTAGTAGTTCCTTTTAGTAGAGAATGACATGTAGAAGTCCAGATCTGGGTGTTAAGTATGCTTGGTATTGGGGTGTCACGGCTCCCAAGCCATCATACTGGATAGAGATAGGGAATATATATAAATGTAAACATGTGTACACACAGGTGCACATTGTACATTTATGTTACTTTATATTATGTATTATTTAAAACCATGAGTTCACACTGATATCCCCAATTCCAGTTTAATACCACAGGATTTGTTCAATAATTTCCGTAATTGTAACTCCCTTTTCTGACAGTGAGTAACTTGGTTCTCATTATCCTCAACATATTTTCTTAATCAATCAGTCCCCTTCTATGTGACCACTCTCTCGTGTTGCTGCTGTTCCCCACATCCACTATGTAGATGCCATCCTTACCTTACTTACTTAGGCTCCAAAACCCCATGTCAGATTGCTGGCCTATACCCTTGCATGAACACCCTTCTCTGATACCTTTCCTAGATTGCTTTCCTCATCTCATTTGGACTTGAGCAGGGCTGCTATGTTGCCTGCCATGTTTCTGTATTGACGTATCCCTTATCCTGTTTTTGTTTGTTGGTTGGTTGTTTTTGTTTGTTTGTTTGTTTTTGAGACAGGGTCTCACTCTTTTGCCCAGGCTGGAGTGCAGTGGCACAGTCACAGCGCACAGCAGCTTCGCTTAACGGGCTCAGATGATCTTCCTGCCCCAGCTTCCTGAGCATCTGGGACTATAGGTACTTCCCACCATGCCTGCCTAACTTTTTGTAGATAGAGACAGGGTTTCGCCATGTTGCCCTGGCTGGTCTCAAACTTCTGGACTCAGCTGATCCACTCACCTCGGCCTCCCAAAGTGCTGGGATTACAGGCGTGAGCCACTGCGCCTGACCAATGTTCTTCCTTTTTCAAGGACGAATAACATTTAATTTTATGTACCACGTTTTATTTGTCAGTGGACACTTGGCAAGCTTCTACCTTTTGACCTTTGTGAATAATGCTACTATTTGCATATGTTATAAATATCTCTTCAAGTCCGTGAGAAGTTTTATTTACCATTTGCATTTAACTCTGCAATCCATCTGGAATTAATTTTTGCATATGTTATGAGGTAGAGGTCAGCATTCTTTTTTTTTTTTTTCTCCATGTCAGACAGGTAATGTGCCTATGTAACAAGGTTTGAGGGGAGGCACACCTCACACATGAGGATGAAAACCCAACCATCATGTTTGCAAACTACAACAGGATCAGAATTCTTTATTCCTTTTCTTTCTATATGCAACTTATTCAGCATTATTTATTGAAAAGATTATTCTTTTTCTGTTGCATTGCAGGGTAACTTTCGTCATATAAGTGTCTATATATGTGTGTGGGCCTGCTTTTGGGATTCTCTCCGTTGCTCCTTTGGTCTGTTCTCGTACCAATACCACACTGTCTTAATTGCTATATTTTTATATAATAACAATTATTGATACCTGATAGTATATGCCTCTCAGCTTCTCCCTCCCACAAGATTGCATTGATTATCTTGGCGTTTTGCATTTTCATGCTGTTCATTAGAATTAGCTAGGCTGGGCATGGTGGCTCATGCCTGTAATCCCAGAACTTTGGAAGGCCGAGGTGGGTGGATCACCTGAGGTCAGGAGTTTAAGACCAGCCTGGCCAACATGGTGAAACCCCGTCTTTACTAAAAATACAAAAATTAACCGGCCTTGGTGGTGGACACCTGAAATCCACCACCTGAGAGGATTTCAGGTGAGGCAGGAGAATTGCTTGAACCTGGGAGGCAGAGGTTGCAGTGTGTGGAGTTTGTGCCACTGCACTCCAGTCTGGGCAACAGAGCAAGACTCTGTCTCAAAAAAAAAAAAAAAAAAAAGAGCTAGTCAGTTTCCACATACTTCTATGATTTTTATTGGAATTGCATTGAATCTATATGTAAGTTTTGGGAGAGCTGAGATCTTAACCCTATTGAGTTTCATAGTCCATGAAAATGATGTATCTTTTCATTTATTTAGGTCTTGAATTTCTCTGTATAGAGGTCTTTATATATCTTTTGTTAAATTATTCCTAGGAATTAGATGTTTTTAGGTGTTATTTTAAAAATTTAATCCTCTTTGTTGCTGATAGTGCAGAGGTTTTAAATCTGAGGTCTGTGGCCCCTGTACAAGCTATAAACACTTTTTATACTTTTTCCTGAAAGATCTGTAATTTACATTTGAATCTGATTTCCACTAAGGGCAATAACAAAAAGATTAAAGAGCACTTTAGTGCTTTAACTTAGAGTAGATTGGACTAGGGAGGGGGAACAGAGAGAGGCAGGGAGACCATTTAAAGTATGTAATAATTTAGGCAAGAGACTGGGCTTGAGCTAGGGTAGTAGGTATGGAAAAGGAGGAACGACATTCAGGGGTATTCTGGAGACAGAATGAGTAAGGTTGCTGAGAGTAGGGTAGAACAAATGAAGAAAAAGGGCAAAATAGAGCTGGCATCAGTCATGTTCAAGGCATTTAGAGGGTTACCAAAGCAGTAGGTAGATAAGGGAAAATGAGTATTTGGTGGGTGAAGATAGTGGGATAGTCCCTAATTATAATAAGGAGACTTTAAATTTAAAATATATTCGCATAAATAAAGATGGGCAAAGTGATAGAATATATGAGATTTGGAAGGTGGAAAGCTGAATGATGGTTAGATGGGGATTTATTATATATTATTCTGTACTTTTTTGTATATTTAAAAGTATCCATAATAAGTTAAGAAAAGTTTATCTGCATAAAAAGTAGGCTGAACTGGAGTTCTCTGGACTAGCTGTACTCAGATTCTTACCTGAGAGAAATATCAGGATTTGGGTTTGAGTAATTTTATAACCACTGTCTATTACGGACACAGTTTTATCAAAATCTGACAGATAAGGAGGCACAAAGCTATAGAGGCCAGGTGCTACGGGGTGGCTAGGAGTTGAAAAGAGATTGAGCTAGGCAAATGGAACATGGTATCTGTTGGCAATTGAACCAGGTGTATGGACTTAGGGGAATTTAGCAAGAGAAGGTGATATGGTTTGGCTCTGTATGCACCCAAATCTCATGTCTAATTGTAATCCCCAGTGTTGGATGTGGGGCCTGGTGGGAGGTGTTTGGATCTTGGGGGTGGATTTCCGCCTTTGGTGCTGTTCTTGTGTGACAGAGTTCTCACAAGATCTGGTTGTTTAAAAGTGTGTGGCACCTTCTCTGCCCCCCTCTCTTTTTCCTGCTTCGGCCATGTAAGATGTACCTCCTTCCCCTGTGCCTTCTGCCGTGATTTTAAATTTCCTGAGGCCTTCCCAGAAGCAGAAACAACCAGAAGCAGAATCCACTTGCTTCTTGTGCAGCCTGCAGAACTGTGAGCCAATTAAACCTCTTTTCTTGTAAATTACCTGGTCTCAGGCATTTCTTTATAGCAGTGCAAAAATGGACTCATACACTAGGGTATACTTTCAGCTGGAGAATAATGACAGGGAGTCTGGGGCAGATATTCTGGGGAGATCAACAGGCAGAAAGCATCAGTGAATACTAGAAACAGGTGGCAAAGCATTGCTTCAAGCTTGAACTCAAAAGTGGAACTGGGAAACCAAGCAAGTAACTAAATAATTGATTCATTCAGTTCATTCGTTCATTCAGCCTGTACTAATTAGTGCCTATTGCAATGGTTCTACACTTTACTCTGTATAAGAATTATTTGGAATGCATGTTAAAATGTAGTACAGATTCTTATTTTTTCCTCCTCTTCCTGTTTACTTGGTACACCTAAAAAATTGGCATGCTTAACAAGCATATCAGATGTTTCTGATGCTGGTGTTTCTCCGGATAATGCTTTGACAAAACATCTAGTTCACTGTGTGCTGGCCAGTGTATCAACACAGGGGAAGTGTGGGAAATGATGTGGCTAGAACCAGAGTGAAAGGTGAGCCCTTGTACTTGGGGAAGGAGCTGCATTAACTGGAATCAAAAGTGATGACAGGCCAGGCATGGTGGCTCATGCCTGTAATCCCAGCACTTTGGGAGGCTGAGGCGGGTTGATCATCTGAGGTCAGGAGTTCAAGACCAGCTTGGCCAACATGGTGAAACCCCGTCTCTACTAAAAATGCAAAATTTAGCTGTGTGTGATGGCCCACGCCCGGTAGCCTCAGCTACTTGGGAGGCTGAGGCCAGAAAATTGCTTGAAACCATGAGACAGAGGTTTCAGTGAGCTGAGATTGTGCTACTGCACTTCAGCCTGTGCAACAGAGCAAGACTCCATCTCAACAACAAGTGATGGCAGAATGAGACAAATATGGCTGAGGCTTCAACTCTCTGAATTCCAACTGGTTGGTGATAAGTTGGTTTCAGAAAATTTACTTCTGTAGGCTGTTTGCAGCTAGAGAAATGGTGAACTATGCGAGTAGGAAAATAAGCAAGATATGACACTTAGAAGAGGTATACCTAGTGAAGGACAATAGCCACTCAGGTACTACATTAAAATCACATCACAATAAAACTGGTAGTGCTTCCTAGTACTATGAACAGTACTATGAACTATGTGTATCATCTTCGTTTATTTTAAAGATGCTGTGACTGGTTCCTCAGCTCATAATCACCATCAGCCACGGTATCTTTACATAGATAGAGGAAGGAGATGTAATTCAGTACAATTAAATATGGTAAATGTAAAGGTGCTTCATAGGTCATACGTGTAAGGTGGTGGTGCTTTTACAACAACATTCTAACATAAACTAATTCATGCAGACTCCCAAAGTTTATTGAATAGGCATTCAATTCTCATTCCATTTTACTTTTTTTTGTTGTTGTTGAGACCAAGTCTCCTTCTACTGCCCAGGCTGGAATGTGGTGGTGCAATCTCAGCTCACTGCAACCTCTGCCTCCTGGGTTTAAGTGATTCTCCTGCCTCAGCCTGCTGAGTAGCTAGGACTACAGGCATGCACCACCATGCCCAGCTAGTTGTTTTTTGGATTTTTAGCAGAGACATGGTTTCACCATATTGGCCAGGCTGGTCTCGAACTCCTGACCTTGCGATCCGCCCACCTTGGTCTCCCAAAGTGTTGGGATTACAGGTGTGAGGCACCACAGCAGGCCTCATTTTACTCTTTATATATTCATTCATGCCTGCTATTTGCAAATTTTTGATTCCAGTTTTTTTTTTTTTAATGAATGTACAGTAAAATGGACTTTTCTTAGTGTATACAGTTTTAGGAATTCTAATATGTGTAGATTCATGTAAACCACAATCAGGATAAGAGCAATTCTATTACTCCCTCACAAAAAACTTTTATACTGTTTCTCCTCCTCTGACCCCCACTTTCTCACGTCACGTTTTTGAGAATATCAAATAAATGGAACTGTGCAATATGAAACCTTTTGCTACTGACCTCTTCCATTCAGCATAATACCTTTGAGCTAGATTAATCCATTTTGTTGCATGTATCAGGTGTTTGTGTCTTACTATTGTTGAGTAGTATTTCATTGTGTAGTATACCAGACTTTGTTTATTCACTGCTGAAGGACATTTGGTTTGTTTTTGGTTTTGGTGATTATAAATAAAGCTACTATAAGTAAACACTTGTGTATAGATTTTGTGTGAACATTTTCATTTCTTTAAGGTAAATATCCAGAGGAGAATTGCATGATAAATGTACATTTAACCTTATTAGAAGTTGCTAAACTGTTTTCCAGAGTGATTGTACCAGTTTGCATTCCCACAAGCAATATGTGAAAGTTCTAGTTGATCTGCGTCTGTGTCAGCATTTGGGATTGTCAGTATTCTTAATTTTAGCCATTTTTATAGGTGTATAGTGATACCCTACTGTGGTTTTAATTTGCATTTCCCTAATGCATTCCTTGGTTCTTGATGCCTTTATCAATGGAGGGTCCAAAACGAAAGATAATACATGGTCATCAGAAAAAATATTTGTTGTGCCTATCTTTAACATTCTGTGAAAGACTTCATGAATATTTTTAGAAAGGAGTTGTACTGTTGAATATTCATGGTTTTTCAATGAAATTTGAGGTACTCTGAAACCTTGCAGAGCTTTAGGTAAGTGTGACATATGACAGTTTGAATAAGAGAGTGACATCAGAGCATTTTTTTTTTTTTTCTGGTGGCCTTTGGTGTTGTGTAGAACACTTGCGGCCTTTAATAAACTGAGGAGAGGCTGGGCACGGTGGCTCACGCCTGTAATCCCAGCACTTTGGGAGGTCGAGGCAGGTGGATCACCTGAG